GAAGACAGAGGGAGGCGCCATCCCCGTGATCATGGCGGACAGCGTGGGGGTGTACCTGGGTGTGGCCCGTGGCAAGGGCGTGGTCACAGAGATTCTCGAGATGAAGAAGGAGGAGGCCAAGAAGGAGGAGAAGAAGAAGAAAAAGAAGGCCACCGAGGCAGAGATCATGGCGGCTGCTGTTGCCAGCTTCCTGCCCGGGGCTGAGGCTGCGTCGGCAGCAGTAGGAGGGGCTATGCCGAGAGGGGAGGAGACGGCGGAGGAGGCGCAGCAGCGGGCAGCAGCGGAGTTCAAGACGAGTATGTACGGTGCAGGGGAGGCGTTTGACAGCGACAGTGACGATGACACCATGTCCACCACGTCCCGGCGCAGCAAGTTCAGCATCAAGATCAAGGACAAGGTACCAGTGCACGCCAATGGCCGATTCCTTTCGGGAGCTGTACCAGGCAGCTGGTGTCTTTTGTGGAGTGTGGGAGCTGATGGATGGATACGTCAGCAGCTTCTTTTGTCCTCTTCTGCAATCTTCTTCTCGTCTTCTCTTTGTCACCTTCTCCCTTCCACCCTTTCCCATTATTCCTCCTATTTTCTCGTCCCGTTCGCTCTCTCTCTCCCAACCCAGGACGCGCGGGCAGGAGTGGTGGATGTGGGGCGCCTCAAGGCGGCGTCCAAGACGCTCACTCTAGGTGCGCCAGCCAAGGCGCCATCGTCAGCGGCCACAGAAGAGTTCGGGTGGCAGCAGTTCGAGTCCGACTCCTCTGGCCTCGCCATCGTGCCCTTTGGGGACGCTGCTGCTGCTGCTGCTGCTGCCGCCCAGCCAGCTGTCAATGGCGTGCCGCCTGCTGCTGGCGGCCCTGTGTGGGCCACCCCCCCGGGGCTGGGCGCGCTGGGCATGGGGGCAGGGGGAGGGGTTCCCGCGCAGGCTGTTGCACTTGGCTATGCCAAGCCCATGCTGCCGCCAGGGCAGCCGGGCGCTGCAGGGCCGGAAGCTGGTGCTGCTGCCGCAGCTGCAGCAGCTGCCGCCGCAGCAGCAGCAGCAGTGGGTGCAGGTGGAGCGGTGGGAGCAGAGGTGGTGGGAGAGAGCAAGGAGCTATTTGGGGACGACGTTCCTTTCTCTGCAGAGCCATCCTTCCAAGCCGCTCAACCTGCACCGGCGGAAGCAGCGGCAGTAGGAGCAGGCAAGCAACGGCCCATGCTGCCCCCACCGTCCGCAGGTCCCTTGCAGATGCAACCCACAGCCGCAGCAGCAGCAGCAGCAGAGCCGGCAGCACAGGAGGAGTTTGGGGGGTTGCTGGCAGGGACAGCGGAGGCGCAGGGCAGAGGGGAACCAGGGCAACTCAAGGTGCCGCTGCCCAAAAAGGCTGGAGGGGCGGAAGGGGCAGGTGTGAATGCGTTGCCTCCTGAGATCTCCGCGCTGTCAGAGGCACAGGCGGGCGGGGAGAAGGGCCCCAGCAAGGAGCAGGAAGCAGCACGTGCTGCCATGCCCACCAAGATTCTCCCTGGCTATGTGAGTGGTGCCGCTGCTCGTGCCACCGCTGTTCATGCTCCTGCTGCTGCTGTGTGTGTACTCCTCGCACACCTCCTCTGGTTGCACTGAACTGTCCAGTTGCACCATTCCTTCCCCCTCTCCCCCCTTCTCCTCCCTGTTTCCCCGCGCACGCGGCTCATCCAATCCACAGGTTCCACGTGGCGCGTCGGCAGCGGTGTGTGTGAAGGTGGCGCTGGTACACGTGGACGACAACCGGCTGGCGGACGCACTGGCGTGTGTGGACGAGGCGTTCCTGGCCATGGCCAAGGACCGCTCCCTGGGCAAGAACATTCAAGCCCAGGCCCGCATCGCCGCCCACTACAAGATCGGTGCCACCATCCTGCAGGTGCCGTGGGAGGAGGGAGGGCAGTGGGGGGAAGGAGAGGGGGCGCAGGGGTGTGCATTGGGTATGGGTTTCTGGGTGGGGTGGATGCGGAGTGGTATGTGATGTGTGTGCGGGGATGGTAGTGGCTGTGGCGATGTGGATCGCACGAGGCAGAAGAAGCGCGAGGCTTGTGAAGTCTCTGCGCTTGTAGGGTGGTGACAGTAATTGCTATGTCGGATGTGCCACCATCTGGTGGCACGTGAGTGTGGTATTGGGACAGTGTGTTGCAGCTGCATGGTGACATGCACGTGTAGACGCGCTGAGCCGCTGTGGGGATATTCTTGCCAGCGAGCCTCTGGAGTCAACCAACGGTGGGCGCCAGTGGTGGTGCGCGTTGCATGCAGCACATGGCATGCGATGTGCCCACCACTGAGCACGAGCACTATCTCTGCAGCACTGTGGGGTTGCCGCTCGTAAGGTGAAGCTTGCCCGGTCTAACTGCAACACAGCTTCATCATTCTTCCTTTCCCCATTCCCCCTCCTCCCCTGGGTGCCGCCCTCCCGTTTCCCCGTGTGGTCGAGCAGGAGATAGTGCGGCTGCAGAAGGCGGAGGGGCAGGGTGCGCTGGGAGCCAAGGAGGAGATGGCGCGCCTGGCACGGCACCTGGCGTCGCTGCCGCTGCAGCCGAAGCACCGCATCAGCTGTGCGCGCACGGCCATCCGGCGCAACATGGAGGTGCACAACTTCGCCTACTCCAACCGCCTCCTGCAAGCCCTCCTCGCCAAGGCGCCCCCCAACAAACAGGCCGAGCTCCGCGCCCTTGCCAAGTGCGTGCCGGGGAGTAGGGAAAGGGGGCGAAAGGGTGGGGAAGTTGGGGGGGGTGGGGTTTGGGATTGGGAAGTGTTGAGAGCATTGACGAGTTGGAGGCCAGGCCAGAAGTGGGTGAGGTTGGTTGGAGGGAGGAAGGGAAATGGAAGACATTCATGACTGCTGCAAGTGGCAGAAAGCCATTGTTCTTGTGTAAACCTGCCATTTCCCGTTGTGTTCAGTCCTTTCCTCGTTTGTGTGTTTCCAGCCCCTGTTGCTCGCCCTTGTTGCTGTCGCATGCCTACACTCCTTTTCCCTTACAACCGATATTCTTCTCTCTCCTGCATTTCATAACATAGACCATCACCCCCTTCCGCCCCTCCCCTGCATCAGCATCTGCATGACGCGGGGCCTCACGGACCGTACCATAAACCGATCCGAGGACCCGTCTCGCTTCTGTGCGGCATCACTGGCGCTGCTGCCCACCATTGGCCACGACGTGTGCGACACCTGCAATGCGTGCTTCGCTGCCCTCGCCACACCTGGCTGCCCCATCTGCGGCATGGGCACTGTCAGGCGCTTTGACAAGGCGGGAGCAGGTGCTGCTGGTGCAGGGGGGGGTGGCGCTACAGGGAGGGCTGCTGCTGCTGCTGGCAGGCAGGCGGGCAGAGGGAAGGGTACGGTGACTGCGTTTGCATCACCGTTCTGAGTGCAGACTGAGTGTGGTTTTGTTTGCACGTTCCTGGATATTTGCCTTGCTATTGTTTGCGGCTGCCTAATTTTACATGGCGTTGGCAGCTTGATTGCAAGTGATAAGTATTTGCAGTGAAGGTGAAGCTTGCCTCAGCTGCATAAGAAACCTTGATGTCAAACTATCCAGAACTCGGTACACCCTGTTTTTCGCTATTGTGGATTCCGGTATACTGAATTTGTGGCTCAACGCGCCAAAATACGCGCTACTATAGTCAACTTTTGCACCAGTTCGGTCTGACGAGGTCAGCTACCTTTGAAGACGGTCTGCTGAACTGTTAATATGGTTCGGTAGGGTACCCAGGTTAACGAAATTTCGGATCACCCGCCTCCTAGAGACGGTTTTTGTAAACTTTTCGAATACGTCCAAGGAACAGTTCCACTGTTCAGTGTGTTTCCGCAGTTTAGCGAGAAACAGGGTGTATTGCTTGCACCTTGAGATACGATTCCTCATGCGCAGCACACATTGATGGCGTGTGCTAAGTGCTGCAAAAACTCGACGTCGAGGAACGCCGGTGAATTTCCACCCTCGGATCAAAGATTCCAACCGTCAGGATTCACCGGCGTCCTCGACGTCGAGTTTTTGCAGCACTTAGTACATGCCATAAACATGTACACAGGATGCTCAACGACTGCATGCGAATTTGGCCTGGCGAAGCTCGACAGCCTGCCCAATTGCAAGTAGTACAAGCCAGTTGCACGTACGATACAAGCCCCTATTTTGATCGCAGCCGTTGAACAGACAGCTTATCACGCTGGCATCCGTCCGTTCGTGAGATATTTTGAAGAAGCTGGTTATATTTCTTCACCTGCCCACTACAGTCCCGATTTTGCCCGTGGCGAACGTTGGCGAGGAAGCGAAGCAAGGCTGCTCATTAAACACCCAAATGACAGGAAACTTTGTGGGATTCAAACGCGCTTCCTGTGTACTCTTGTAAACAACTGCCCCCGTGGGCACCCAAAGCTGCCACGAAGGCAATCTTCCCTCAGGCGCAGGACATTCCTCATGGGAGAGGGACGCAGTTCTTTCCATCTGAACAGAAATGGAAGCAGGATTCATGACGGCGACCGACATAGGAAACGAACTAGAAAGCATCCCGATCCACACGACACCCTTCATTCATGGCAATCTAGACGGTTCGCCGATGGCCTTGGTCAGCTTCGGTCTCCTAACGCATAGGTGGAATTCGGTGGATGCTCCCCTCACCAGAAGCCACCTGTTGCTAACGTCCGCCGTCGTTGGGGTGATTTAGCAACCCAGGAGAAGTGCACGTCGTTCGTGTCCACGTCGCCTGTTTCTACTGGCTGAAGCTTTGCTTGTACTTCCCAGCGAGATGCTTTTTGACGGCTATCGGCCATGGGATGGGATGGGAGGGAGGCCTAGCGCGGCGCAAGGGCTCCCACTCGATGCGCGACGCGGCAGCATTTCAGCGACTCGCAACAGCGTGCCTGACGCAGAAGGGGGGCATTCCATGAAGTACAAAAAGTCGCGGGGACCTTTATTGGCCCCACGCAACGAAGCTGTCTCATCTTACCCGTTTCCCTCCCCTCACCTGAACCACACACCTTTACCTTTGGTTTACACTACCTTGCACAATGGCGTCGCGAATCCCCGCTGCACTGGCGGCACTGGCCGTGCTGCTCCTGTGTGTGTCGCTGCCCGCGCGCGCGGGCGCGCACAACCACAAGCGCAAGTACAACGGGCGCGTGGTCGCGCGCAACCTGGTGAGCGCCGTCTCTGGCGCGAAGAACTACTCCACATTCCTCAACGTGTTGCAGCTCACTGGTACCGCTCACTCACTGCGTGCCACTGCTCTCACCCACCCCTGCTTGTCACGCATCAGGGCGGTCCATATGCTCTCCTCTTTCGATTCCTGCCCAAAGCAGCAGCGCGGTATCTTGCAGAACTGCTCGTAAAGATCTGTGTTTGCTGCTAGAGTTTTGCCTCCCCTCCCGTCCCCTGCTGCTCACTCTGCTCTCGCTGCCCTCGCATCCCTCGTTGCCCTCGATACCCGGCAGGCGTGGACAAGGAGCTGCCGGGCGCGTTTGACCACTACGACGCCACCATCTTCGCCCCCACGGACGCTGCATTCGCCGCCGTGCCCAAGGCCACGCTGAGCGCGCTGCTCAAGGACGTGCCGCTGCTGCGCGAGATCGTGCTGCTGCACATCGTCAAGGGCAAGAAGCTGGCCGCTAAGATAGTGTCGCAGCGCAAGGGCCAGGAGGTATGGTATGGCTGACTTCTGTGGACGCCCTCACTGCATTGCCTGCTTGCGTTGCTTCCTGTTGCCTCTGTTGTCAATGCTTTTCTGGTTGGAAGACCGGTTCTGGTAGCCCTGCCGACACTGCATTCCTCTCAAAGCATGTGCCCCCTCTCCGTCCACCCCGTTTGCCTATTCCTCGTGCCTGTTCCTATTGTGCAGTATGAGACAGCCGCGGGCATGGGTAAGGCAAAGCTGGTGAAGGCATCGGTGCGTGGTTCCAGCAGTGTGCAAGTGCGCCCCAAAGATGGCGGAGCCACCGTGAGCGTGCACACGCCCAACGCTGTGGTGCTGCGTGCTGTTGTGGTGCACAGTGTGACATCGGTGATTGTGCCCAAGAGCCCCAAGAAGGCCGGCAAGCAGCTCACGCTCAAGCAGTGCTTTGACGCTGCTGAGCTTGACTAGTGGATGAAATTGACTGCTGCCAGGGTACTGTGGTTGTGGGTGGGTCAACAAGTGGCCTCTACGGTTCATGCATGCATGGTATAGAACACAGCTAGATGTTCCCAATATGGTGTGGTCATACCGTATGATATCGCCGCCTCTGAACTTTGTGTGCTCTAGCTTTCTGAAGTGCATTCTACCTACCCGTGTTTACAGCTCTTAGGGCGTGGTGGTCCTCTACCTGTCACCAGACGCACATTGTGCGGTTAGATGCTTTCCAGTACGATTGAATGTGAGGAGTGCGTAACAGGGTGGTTCGAAGCAAATCCGGCACGAGGATTTCCGGGCAGAAGGCTGTGGGGAACACGCCTTTATTATGTACTAGGGTAATTACTCACATTTGGTAAGATGTGTGCCGTTAGCAAAATACTTCACACTTTTAAGACTCTGGTAATCTCTGTGGTGAGCATGTGACCAGCAAAACATGTGCTCTAGATCAGGGTGGGGCTGCAAGCCGTGGGAAATGATTGATTCAATGCATGCTTTAACTTCTCCTGATACGTGACCTGTACCTGTAGCCTTCTCTGCCCTGGGGCCTTTTCTACACGTCAGCTACTATGGAGCACTGATGGCAGTTATGTCGTCGTTAGCATGTGCAAGCGCCACCTGTTCAGTGCCGCCGCGCGGGAACAGGGGCAACCCACGGAAGCGGAAGCTGACGGTGGGCATCCGGGTGGGCACACGCGGGTACAGAGGCAGCGACGACAGGGACGGCAGGGCGGGGTGATCAATCACGCATGGCAGCTCCGGTGGCACGTCGATGGTGATGCTCGACGGCACGCCCTGCATCGGGTGCTGCAGGAACGGGAAGCACGGCGGGGGAGCAGCAGGAGCCGGTGCCGGCGCGGCGGCAGCGGCGGCGGGCGCCTGAGCGAATGCGGTCTGGGACTGGGAGTTGGTTTGAGTGACGGTGGAGGAATCCCTAGCGTCGACCGTCTGCGAGTTGCTCTGCACCTGGTTCGCTATGTTCCCGTTGTTATTGCTCTGGTCCGTGTATACGCTGTGAGGCACCGTGGGCACGGGCACGGCGGGCAGTGTAGGCAAGTCCGGCACCACCTGAGTCACGAGGTCCGCGAGGGTGTTTCCCGCCGCTGCCCTCACGGCCAAACCTGCCAGTTTTTCAGGCACACGCACGCGCAGAACGCGTTGTTAGTACGCAATCCAGACGCGAAGAAATACTGAAACACGCGATCGATAAGAGGTCAGAGAGGGGCGTTACCGATAAGAATAAGTCGAAGGAAATCCATGGAGGCGAGAAGCTGCGTGAGAACGGGGCCGATGCAGTAGCAGCTAAGCAACGAGGGCACCGAAGAGGGCCCAGTGAGCAAGGAAGTCTTGAGAGGGCGGGATGAGAACATGCGTTCACACGACATCAGCACTGCGTCGACTGGCGCCAGCATTTATAATATCATGACGTTTGCAAAACAAAGGCGGCCGAATGACCTTCAAGGGCGCCGACTGTTTCGGCGGACGTTGAGGTTGACGCCATGGCGAACACGGTGACATGATCGCTCAGGCTTGTCACCATCACGGATTTGACTGTGACATAGCGTCAGTCACGGCTGCAACGAGCTGATGTGACGGCAGCAGGCCCCCCAGGGCGTTGGGGTTTTAGGGTTGGATCGTGTGCAGCGACGATTGTTTATATGCTTATAAATTTGCGGTGTAGGTCTTCAGCGTGTGGTGGGAGAGTGTTGTTGGGAGTTGGCGAATAAGGAGGGATCGAATTTGGTCGTGTTGACTCGGTTACTCACGACTTTTGAGAGAGTTCGCGAGGTCAGAATTGCGAGCTGTCAGCAGGGCTACATTGCGGGCTGTGCTAGGTCGACCTGGTTCGTGCCAATGTAAATCGGTGCACTGACAAGCTTTGACACAGCCCCTCCAAAAGCCCCGCTCTGTGCTGGCCGGCCGACGCAGCGCACCAGTTGCCACAAAACGTCTGCTATAGTCACGATCCAATGCAATCCACGGCAAATGCGATGCGAGCTGGGGGGGCAGGCAGGATTTGCGATCGCGGGTTTCAGGTTTGTAAACACGACGAAAATTGTGAAGTCCCGTTCGTGGAGTTCGCCAACGAAATTCGAATGCGCACTGACATCCCTTGTTCGCGATGTTCGATGAAACTCTCATCTCTCAACCAGCGGCAGACCCTGCCGTACCCTCCAGTCTCTTCACCCCGTCCACACTCCCCTCCACTCTCGCGCCGTCCGCCGACGTCCGTCATCGGTATACTCATGAAGATTGGTCGGACATCCGTCGGATGGCATCCCAAATATTATTCGCGGGACGGCTTGACGGCATGGATGTCGTTCAGAGCTTCCAGCACCCTCACATCCCCTTGGAGTGCATCTTGACGTTTTAGATTCTGGTCAGCAGTCAAGATGAATGTGTTTGGACAACACAAAGACTGGGTGGTTTCAACCTGTGGGTGGTGCAGTGGGTCTCGGTCGGGTTTTGCCAAGCAGATTTCTGTCGAAGTGCAGTAGAAAGGTATCTCTTTTTCAATCCGCCCTCATTTCGTTTCGCGCTCACAGCAAGTCATCCCTAACCTTCCTCCTCCAGCCTGGTGAGCACGACTGGCGATGAGGGTTGCTACTTCTACTGGTCATGGTCAGTGACCTGCATTAGGCGATTTCATATTATCTTTCTTTCTTTCACTTTGGGTAATGTCCTTGCACAGTGAAGATTGTTCAACATGGACGACACGCAAGCTCTTGTGATCGACAACGGATCCCGCATGATGAAGGTGAGTAGCATTGGCATTGTCAATTTATCGTGTTGATGGTTTACGTCTAATGCATGTGAGCCTTATTTTCCAGGCCGGATTTGCCGGAGATGATAAGCCACGTGCAGTGTTTCCCAACGTTGTTGGTCGTCCTCGCCATCCCGGTTTGAGACTAATGGGCGACAGAGATGCTTGCGTTGGTGATGAAGCCATGGCCCAGCGTGGAATGTTGACGCTGACGTATCCTATCGATTACGGTGAGATTGACTTTGCTGCATGAATAAATACGCACACTTCCAATCATTATTCTTCTCAATCATGTATCCTTCGGGTGTTTTGACGTTCCAGGTATTGTGACGAACTGGGGCGACATGGAAAAGATTTGGCAGCACACCTTGGACAATGAACTTCGTGTCGACCCAGAGGAGCATCCGGTGCTTTTGACTGAAGGTCCTCTAAATCCCAAGGCGAATCGCGAGAAGATGACGCAAATAATGTTTGAGACTTTCCGCGTGCCGGCAATGTATGTCGCCATTTGGGCCGTGCTCTCCCTGTTCGCCAGTGGTCATACCACTGGTAAGTTTTGGTTTGTTTCTCTGTGCACTCGCATTCGCAATGTCTTTCAGCTTCTAATATCCTGCTTTGGCTTCAGGCATTGTTCTGGAATCTGGAGGTGGTGTGTCCCACGCTGTTCCCATCCACGAAGGTAACGCTCTGCCGGACGCGACTCTCCGTTCGCATCTTGCCGGTCGTGAATTGACTGATTACCTGGTTGTGCTGTTGAAAGAGTGAGGGACATCAAGGAGAGGCTCGCTTACGTTGCTATCGACTTCAAGCAGGAGATGGCGACTGTGGAGGGCTCGACTACTTTGGAGCAGAGTTATGAGCTTCCTGATGGCCAGGTTATTACCGTTGGTTCCGAGCGTTTTAGGTGCCCAGAAGCGCTCTTTAACCCGTCGCTGCTTGGAAAGGAATTTCCGGGTCTCCATGAGATTTGCAACAACAGCATCACGAAGTGTGACGAAGGTATCAGGCGGGATTTGTACAGCAACATTGTTCTCAGCGGCGGCACCTCTTTGATACCTGGAATCGCTGAGCGCTTAACCAAGGAAGTGACTCAGCTGGCTCCAGCCAACTACGTTAAGGTGGTTGCTCCACCTGAGCGGAAGTACGGTGCCTGGATTGGTGGATCCATGTATGCGGCTCTGAGCACCTTCCAGCAGGTATGGGTTTCCAACATTTTCTATTGCTCTATGCCTTGTTTCTGTGCGCTGACATACCTTGTGTGATGCAGATGTGTATTACGAAGAGCGACTATGACGAGGTTGGTCCAGCCATTGTTCACACGAAGTGCTCCAAGTTTTCTACTTAGGTACCTCCCGGATATAAGACATGGGTTTTATCCAATATTGCCTTGAAATGTGATGTTTATCTTAGGGCGTGTTCCTGTCGGCCTCTTACGGTATCAGGCCTCCCGTACCTGGTATCATACTTCGCAAAATTTGAGAATTTTCGCTACAAGACCTAAATTTCAGACTTAGAGCATGTTCCTACGGGCCCCTATCAGGCCAGCCCCTTGTCAGACTCGCCTCAAACACCAGAATTTCGGATTAAATGCATTGTGTACTAGATGTTTTGATCGTTTGTGAAGTGCGCGACAAAATGTGTTGGGTGACGTGGCACTGCGCAACGGTCCCGAAAGGTTGCGAAGGAAAAAAATTATGAGTTCAGACAAATTCCAGGCAATTGAAACGTGTGTTTGGCGGAACATTCTTTGTATGTTTCATACCCGACAAAACAGCATGTGTGAAGAATTCCGCACGATTCCCTGACCATGGCTCGCTGAAACAGCACCTGCGAAAGATTTTGCGCGATTGCCTGACAAGGGTCACTGAACAACACGTGTCAGAGATTTCGCTCGACCAATTCATTGAACAGCATTGTAATTTTTCAAGTCTGGAAAACGGTCTTAATAACGAAATCGCTCGCATGCAGGCCCTACGAAGTCAGACTTTTTTCTCTGATTTGCACAAAAAACTCTGATATTTCAGATTTTTTTTCCAGTGTAGTGTACTCTGTTAAAATCAGACTTTTTTGGGCCCAAACTCTGTAATTTTCAGACTTGTTTTAAGGCTAACTCTGAGAGTTCAGAGTTTTCTGAGAGTGTACTCTGATCATTCAGAGTACAAACGCGTCCTTGACTGGTGATTCGGACTTACGGGTCACAACAGATTCGCAATGTCAACGCAAAATCGCCTTGATACAGCAAATCCGAGCCTTACAGCACAAGATTTTCGCCCAATCATAGCAAAATCGCCCTGACACAACAGATTTGCGCTGTCAAAGCACAACAATTTCGACCAATCATCGAAAACTCGCCCAGACATTGCAGATTCGCTCTTTCGCACCACAAGATTCGCCCTTACACATATATTCGCCTTGTCAAAGCATGTTTTATCGGAAATCCCCTTAGTGTTGTGTGTTTCGGTAGCAGATGAATGAAACATTGATTACATTCCGATGAAACATTGAATACCGGTACATTGTTTTTGAATGATCATACTTTTTTTTTAGGACACTCTGAAATTTCAGCCTTTTTTTTATACCAACTCTGATATTTTCAGTCTAAAAATTATAATTTTAAACACACGAAGTGTTTTTCAAAATTACGTATTTCGAAAGCGCAGCTGCTTGTAACGCATGTTTTGGCATCGTCGAAGCGCGCTAAACGCCCTTTCTCCAACTACAAATCGTGGGTTGGAGCTCATTTCCCTCCACCCACGTCTCTCGTTTTCCAACGGCTCATGCAACTCCATTTTCTCGAGCTCACTTCTAGTTTTACCGTTCAAGCTGGCGAGGACTCGCTCATTACCTAGAGGCGTTTCTCCTTCAACTTTATTAGCCGACATCCTTAACCAAAACCGCTCAACGATGGCTGCGACGCCAACGCTTAACCGTGCTAACAACATCGTCGCCAACGACCCGATAATTTCCGACAACGACCGTAATGCCCGTGAAACGACGGGCGAGCGTCGCAACAAGCGCCGGGAAGACGGCGAAACATCCGCCCCGACCGCCGTGGACGTGCTGTTGGGCGGGCTCGAAGTCAACAAAAACGCCGAGCAGCACCCCCAGCACCCTTCGGCGCCTGTGGCGCCAGTGGCACCTGTGGCGCCAGTGGCGCCTGTGGTGCCAGTGGCGAACGTGGCGACACACACCGCGGACGCGGAGCACGCGCCAGCGGCACACGCCTCCGGCCGGCCATCGCGTCAGCGCCAGAGGCGCCGTACGGCTGCCTCGTCTGACGCGACGGCTGACCAGGCCTTGACCGAGGCGTTGACCCCGGACCAAGTCAAGGCCCTCCTGTCCCTGTTACAGCAGCACCCCGCTAGCGCGATCGCCGGCGAAACTACACAACCTGCTGCATCTGCATCGGCTAAAAACGACATTGCAAAAAAGGAAAAAGGAGCAAAAGGACCATCAACGCGCCGCCACGACAAGGAGGCCGTTACCAGCGCTCCTGAAGCTGCAGCAGTCAACAACGACTCCGACGACTCAGACGACGACGCCGGTGAGGCTCCGAACAACGCAACAAATTTCCCCCCCATGGAAAATCTCCCTCCCCTCCCTTGCACTAACCCCACTTTTTCGGCGGCAAACTTCATTGACCCGATCGTGCGAGCGAAAGTGGAGCCCCTGGAGGACCTGAGGGCCTACCTGAAGCACGCGGAGTACAAACTGCATCGCGGCGACGCGGCGGGCGGACTTGAAATGGTCGCGAGCGCCCTCGACTACATTTCGGAGCGCTACGACATGCTTCAAGTCGAGGACGCCATCGACGATCGCGTCGCCAAGCGGTTCAAGATGTACCTGCAGAAGAGCCTCCTTACCTCCCACCCGTTCAAGCAAGCCGTCGCCGACGTGGCAGCGATAGATCGCGCGGAGGGTGCGCACGCTCGATCCCACCGCGGCGGAGGTCGCGGGCCCATGGCGTTCAACCCCAAGCGCGGCCCGCCTATGGGGAGCTTCCACGGCTTCCGTGGGACATGCTTCCGCTGCGGCCAGCCGGGGCATGTGGCAAGTGGCTGCCCGCGGAATGGCAATGGTGGCCAAGGACCCGCACCCGTGGTGTAGGGATGGTCCTTGAGCGTTTGCGCCTTAGCGCGCGTGGCACGGTGCACGTCAAGTGCGTTGACCGTGGGCAACCCAAAGGGGTTTGCGGTGGCTATGAGCCAAGCCCTAGTTAGGGGTGATGATTAGGCTATAGGCCTAGGTGGCAGGAGAGGGACTAGAAAGCCCTTTGGTCCCATAATTTGGCCCGTGCGGTGCGGGGCGGATGCATGCTAGGAAGCATGGCTATGTGTGGCCCGTTTCTTATAAGGGCTTTATTTTTAAAGAAGTACTTTCTGATCTTGGCTTTGGATGACAAAAAAAAAAAAAAAAAAAAAAAACCAGAGAGCGACAAAATGGCAAGCACCCCCACGAACCCGAGCAAACGGCCCCACCATTCGTTGGCATTGGTAGCCTTTATATTGGCCACAAGCCAAAAAGGCATGTCATGGATAAAGGGAAAGCAAGAGCAAATGCAAAGAGTGAACGAGAGCGAGATAGACAGAGAGAAAGAAAGAGAGAGAGAGAGAGAGAGAGAGAGAGAGAGAGAGGGAGAGAGAGAGAGAGAGAGAGAGAGAGAGAGAGAGAGAAAGAGAGAGGGAGAGAGGGAGAGAGAGAGCGAGAGGGGAGAGAGAGGCGAACCGCGTCACACATGGGTGACAAACGATGATTACGACTTGTTGATGTGTCTACGCACGCGTTATCGCATGCACATTCCTGAGACACGATGGCTTGCATTCTAACACCTCTTCGCCATTGTCACTCGACAAACATGCAGAGATAACACGACACGAGACGCTAGGCGACGGAGATCCGTACGAGTTCGCCGTCACTGACAAATCTGTCACGCAAATGCGCGGGCGGCTTCGCGCAACCCTTGCATGGTGGAGCTCGTGGTGCCCCAGCAGCCTCATCCTCTCCGTCATCGCTAACGGTTACTGGCTGCCATGGAGCCACAACCCACCACAACCGTTTCACGAGCGCAACCACCTCGGGGCGCACACGCATGCTGCGTTCACACGCACTGCCATTCGCGAACTTACCGAGACCGGCGCGGCGGTGGTCACCCCAGCAGCGGAGCTCACATGCATAAGCCCACTCAACGTGGTTGAGCAACGAGAAAAAGGCAGGCTAATCCTCGACCTCAGAAAAGTGAACGCGCACCTGACCATCCCTAAATTCAAATACGAAGGCCTAAGCCGCGTGGCCGACCTGGCACGCATGGGAGATTGGATGTTCTCCATCGACCTCAAATCGGGATACCACCATATCGACATACACAACTCTTGCTGGAAATTCTTCGGCTTCGAATTTGAAGGGCGAACGTACGCCTTCCGTTCACTACCTTTTGGCCTCGCCACGGCACCATTTGTCTTCACGCAGCTCATCAAACAACTAGCCAGGCGCTGGCGTGAACAAGGCGTTCGAGTGATACCCTATGTGGACGACATCCTGTTCTTATGCACGTCCAAGGCCCACGCACAAGCAACATGCCAGCAGATAATTTCGGACCTCAAGATGGCGGGCTTGGTGATTAACGCGAAAAAGTCGCAGCTGCTGCCATCCCAACATCTGCGATTCTTGGGCGTCGAGTTGGACACCAAATCTGGTCAATTCTCAATTGGCACCGATCGACGGGCATCACTTCACGCACACATTCGGAACCTACTGGACGCAAGCAA